TTGGCTGTTCTCAGTCGTGGCAGATGACAGAACAAGGAGCAATGGTCTCAAGGTGCAATGGGGGAGGTCTAGGTTGGATATTAGGAAACACTATTTCACTAGGAGGGTGGTGAAGCACTGGAATGGGTTACCTAGGGAGATGGTGGAATCTCCATCCTTGGAGGTTTTTAAGGCCCGGCTTGACAAAGCCCTGGCTGGGATGATTTAGTGGGTGTTGGTCCTACTTTGAGCAGGGGGTTGGACTAGATGACCTCCTGAGGTCTCTTCCAACCCTGATATTCTATGATTCTATGACGACAAGGCCTACAGGGAGGTTAGGTTTAGCTAGCATGTGCTACCTAAACACCACCTAAACTCAGACATTTTCCTAATCAAGACAAGGTGTTAAAATCAACTGAAACCTGTATTTATATCATGAAGTGTAAATCAACTCCTTAACAATGTAAATTAAATCGATTTCAGCGTGCCCACACCTTAATTCTAGGATTATTGTATCCGAGATCAGATGCCACCTCTCCTCTCCAGAAAAGAGATCTGGCGTGACTCACATGGGAGTATTTCAGAGTAACAGCCGTGTTAGTCTGTATTCGCAAAAAGAAAAGGAGGATTTGTGGCACCTTAGAGACTAACCAATTTATTTGAGCATAAGCTTTCTGTAGCTCACGAAAGCTTATGCTCAAATAAATTGGTTAGTCTCTAAGGTGCCACAAGTCCTCCTTTTCTTTATGGGAGTATTTGTTACCCACTTGATCACAACTGGGTAGCGATATAGTAACGGGAGCAAAGGTATTTCCATCTGTACCAGAGCCAGTCACCACCTGAGCACCCCCTCACGGCCAGAGGTCACTCAGCAGTACCCTGCCTCTCTTTCCCCTTCTTCAGGGCCCCTTATATAGTCTCAGCACATTTTCCCTGTGGTCCTCCTTGGGGTCTGGGATTAGTCACAGAAAATGACTTCAAAATCTCCAATTAAAATCCAACAAACAAACGTCTCTCTCCCTACACCCAGGCCTTTCTGCCCGGAGTACTCTGGAGTTTTTCCCTGGATTGTTCAGGGTTCTCTTTGCAGTCCCTTTTGTTTGTCCCCCTGCTTGCGTCTCTCCCAGGCCTTCCTATAGATTTGCCAACTTTCTAATCACACAAAACCGAACCCCCCTGCCCTGAGGCCCCACCCCCTTCTCCGAGGCCCTGACCCCATTCGTTCCATCCCCCATCCTTCGGTCACTCGCTCTCCCCCACCCTCTCTCACTTTCACTGGGCTGGGGTAGGAGGTTGGGGTACAGGAGGGGGGGTGAGGACTCTGGCTGGGGTGTGGGCTCTGGGGTGGGGCCAGGGCTGAGAGGTTTGGGGTGCAGGAGGGGGCTCAGGGCTTGGGCAGGGTGTTGGGGGTGGGTGCAGGCTCCGGGAGTTTGGGTGCGGGAGAGGGCTCCAGGCTGGCGCAGGGGGTATAGGCTCTGGGATGGGGGTGCAGGCTCTGGGGTGAGGCTGGGGATGAAGGGTTTGGCGTGCAGGAGGGGACTCCGGGCTGGAGCAGGCATTTGGGGTTCAGTGGCAGGGGTGTATGGGCTCTGGGCTGGGGGTGCAGGCTTCAGGTGGGGCCAGAAATGAGGGGTTCAGAGTAAGCGAGAGGGCTCTAGGCTGGGATAGGGTGTGGGAGAGGGGTGAGGGATCTGGGGTGGGGTTGGGGATGAGGGGTTTGGGGTGAAGGAGGGGGCTCAGGGCTGGGGCAGGGGGTTGGGGTGCAGAGGGGTGTGGGCTCTGGTTGGGGCCAGGGATGAGAAGTTTGGGTGCAGGAGGGGGTTCAGGGCTGGGGCAGGGGGGTGTGCGCAGGCTCCAGGAGTTTGGGTGCAGGAGGGGACTCTGGGCTGTGGCACGGGGTTGGGGTGCAGGAGGAGTTTCTTGTTGCAGGGTCCCGGCGGCGGCTCCCACGAAGCAGCCACCAGGTCCATGCAGCCCCTAGGCCAGGGGTGGGCAAACGTTTTGGCCTGAGGGCCACATCTGTATGGCAGGCCATGAATGCCCGGTGATGGAGGGGGACTTTGTGGGCTGTAGCAAGGGGGAAGCTGTATAAGGGATGTTACTGAGGTGGGAGGAAGGGGGACTCATGGGGTGGGCTCTACAGGGGCAGGACCGGGGACTCCTAGGGATTCCACCGGCAGTGATACCAAGGCGGCCATACCAGTCACCGCGCTGGACCGAGGCACCCTAGCTGGGACGGGTGTGGCCCCTGGGCAGTTTTGAGGCTCTGGAGGGTGGGGCCATAGGAGACCAGGAGGGGATTGGGCGTGCTGCCACGTGGGCTGGGGGCTGCCACGTAGGAGCTGGGGTTCCAATCCCAGAAACAGCACAGTGAAGTCGCACCTGCACAGGTTGGCTCTGTGTGCCAGAAGATGGTGCTCATCAAGGGAATTGTGGGGTGGAGCGGGGCAAGCCCCCGGCCCTGCTCCCCGGTGGGAACTCGAGGGCCAGATAAAAACATCTGACAGACCGGAAGCAGCCTGTGGGCCATAGTTTGCCCACCCCGGCCCTAGGCGCATGGGCGGCCAGGGTGGCTCCCTGGCACCTAGGGGCCGCAAGGGCTTGTCGGCTGCTTCCAGGAGCTGTGCGGAGCTAGGGCAGGCAGGAAGTCTGCCTTAGCCCCACGCCCCCGCTATGCCGCCAACCGGATTTTTGACGGCCCAGTCGGCACAGCCGCCAGGGTCCCTTTTTGACCAGGCGTTCTGGTCGAAAACCGAAAACCTGGCAACCGGACCTGAAGAGCTTGTGCACTCTGTTTGGTCAGTGTAATGGAGCAGTTCCCATTTACACGTGCCCAAGAGCTGGCCTAGGAAGTTCAGACAGACCCTGCTTCAATGTTGCTCCCTAGAGCAGAGATTCCCAGCTCTTCCTTTGGTTGGACCACCTCTAGGTTCCAGAGCTGATTGGAACATGGGGGTGGGGGGACAGAAGGTGTTTCAGTGGAAAATTTCAACAAACATTTTTTGTTGAAATCTTCAGATGAAAACTTTGATTTTTTTTGACCAAAAAAAAAAAAATCGCTGAAATCCAAAATGTTTTTAGCTGAAGATTTTCAGGTGTTTGGTTTCTCCGAAGAAAAATAAGGACCACAGACACCTTCCACAAAGAGTTTGTTTTGCCAAAAACTCAATTTCCCCATCAGAAAGTTCTGGGGGAAGATTTCCTACCAGCCCTGTTAGGCGTCTCTTCCGTGCTCCAGGCTGTGGACCCTCGACATCAGAGCATGGCACATAGGTAGGGCTCTTCCTTTTCAGTTTTTATTTTATTTAATTTTCCCCAGGAATTTATCGGGGTTTATTACTACAACAAAACAGGTGAAAATTGGTGGAAAAAAACCTGTTAATTTTTATGGGTAAATATTGGGGTTTATTTTGGTGGACGAAAGGACGGCAGGGAAGTATTCAGTGGATGAATGCTTTGATGAATGGAATTTAATGTGGTTTGCTGCAGAACTAAACCAGAACTCAGAATACAAGGCTACCTCTGAATTTAAGAAAACAATCTCTCTCTAATCCCCAAATAAACCTTTTCATTTGAACAAACAGTTTACTGCTGTAGACTGAGCCTATAAATATTTACATTTAATAACTGGGCCACACCATTTGCCACGCATACAGTCAACTTCATCCTTTTCTCCTGGTTTTGTTTTTTAAAAACTTTTGAATCCTTCCTTTGTGTTCCGAAACGCACTCCGATACAGATTTTCGTTTTCTTCCCATTTTAGTGGGTCAGATCTTTAAACCGCTCCCTGCTAACAGCTTGAAATGTGTCTGGGGTGGGCGTCAGGGTCGTCAGTACATTCAGATGTGCAGGCACTTCAGGGCTTGCGTGCGTGCCTGTTTGTTTATTGTGTGTATCTTCTAGCCTCGCTTCCACAGGCAGCTTTGCATAGACACACACAGACGAGTGTATTCTCGTAATACATATGGCGCATGCATTGTGTGATATTTTCCTAATAAAACAAGTTATTTTGTATATATTTGAATGATACAAAAGTAGGGTGAAAATTGGAGGGGGGGGTGAAGAATAATCCTTTTTGTAAAACCCGGGCTTGCACAGAGAACTCTCTTGCCTTCCTGTCCTTTTCTCGCCCTCCCTTATCACCTCCTTTTGTTCCTGTTTTTTCTGCTCTGCAGGGGGGCAGGAACAATTTGTATAGTGGGGCTGCTAAGAGCCATTGAACCAAACTGTAAACAGTGTATAAAATGGAAACCACTTCAAGCCAGGGGGTGGGGCAGCACCCCCAACTCCCCCAGTTCCAGCACCTATGCTGTTCTGTATCACGAATATATTTTAAATTCCCTTTTATTTTCATTTCTTTCTTGTTCCCCTTCCCTGGGTCCCTCCATCCCACCCCCCCAGTCCCATCCACTTTTCCTGGTGTCAAACCCTGCTCCCCTCCCCAATCTTCCCGCCATCCCCTTCCCTGGTAGCCCTCCTACATCCTCCTAAGGAAGTTTGTTTCATCTGCTGCTGGTAAGTTTGCTGAGGGAGGGAAAGTTAGGGGTACAATCACTCAGTTTTCCCTCCTCCCACTTTCTTTGGCCCATGACGTCTCCCCCACTCCCAAATTGGGCTCTGTCCTCCTTCCTAGGTGGGCCTACCTCCCAGTTGAGGAATACTGCCCTAGAAGGGCCCTTACGAATCCCCGCCACCACCCATGCAAACTTTGATATGGAAATTACACCCTCATCAGAAAGAGGCTGAATGGGAGACATGGGCCGATTCTGAAAGGAGTATTATCATGATAAACAGGTAATTCTTCAAAGGGCTGCACAAACAATGCTACAAGGCAATTGTGCGCAGCTGAACTGGGGCTCTGGCCTGCGCCAAGGATGCTAGATCCTGCAGCTGTTCGCTCATTCTTATTCTCCGATCGCAGCTTTAAAACCCCCCCACCCCCATCACACAAAGAAGATCACCCATTGAACTGCAGGCCCACAGCCTACCGGGAAGGCAGGGAACAAAGCACCACATGCAGGGAAGGCGTGAAAAAAAGTTTTAATGCTTTTTAAAGGGTTAGAAATAATTGCAAAGGGAGAGAAGGAACCAGGAAGCACCCGAGGTCCTGAAGAATGGGTGCTCTGTTCTTAGAAGCACTTCCTGTGGACAATGGAAGGGCCGGCCTCGTCATATTCTGGTTTGCTGATCCACATCTGCTGGAAGGTGGAGAGAGAGGCCAGGATGGAGCCTCCGATCCAGACGGAGTATTTACGTTCAGGGGGGGCGATGATCTGTCGAAACAATTGCAGACAGGATCCGGTGAAACAAGGTTGCGCACTTCCACAAGCCAGTTATGGTACGGACCCCTAGGCACACAGACTAAGAGCTGGTCTACTCTTAAAAATTAGATTGACCTAGCTACGTCGCTTGGGGCTGTGAAAAATTTCACACCCTGAGCACCATAGTTAGGTCGAACTAACCCACAGTGGAGACGCGGCTAGGTTGCTGAAAGAATTTTTCCGTCAGCCTACCCACAGCCTCTCGGAGAGATGGATTAACTACAGTGACAGAAAAACCCCTTCCGTTGGTGTGGGAAGCATCCACACTACCGCAGCACACCTACAACCGGAGTTGTAGTGTAGACATGGCCTTCGACAGACAGGTCTGACCCTGCAAAGTGCCGAGCGCCCTGCATTCCCTTTGAGCTGAGTGCAAGGGGAGGGTCTGACCCAAAGGCCATTGAAATCAATGGGAGTCTTTCCAGTGACTCCACCTGGCTTTGGATCAGGCCCTAACGGCATGCTCCACCTCTCAGGATTGAACCCATAAAAACCAAACCAATTTCGGTTACTGCACATGCTGACTTGGAATCAGTGGTAGGGAATTTCTTCTCCTTATAAGCTATAGGAGACATTTTTTAAAGTTCCTAAGGGATTTAAGAGCACAGGCTCTTTGGGACAGGGAGTTTTTGTCTATATTTGTACTAAGCTAGCAAAGTGGGTCTGGTCCATAGAGTTGAAGGCCAGAAGGGACCACCAGGTCATCTAGTCTGACCCTCTGTATATTACAGGCTACCAACACCACCCAGCACCCACACACCAAACCCAGTAACCAAGATTAGGCCAAATGACTGGGGCTTCTAGGTGCACTGGAAAGACCATTCATAAAATAATAATAAATCCCATTCAAAGTCCCTTCTTTGCTTTATATTAAATCTTCCCCTGTAGTATTAACAAGCAGCTTTCTGGAGTTAGAAACTTTTCGGCCAAACTATGCACTGCATGGCTCTGCAATACTGAGCACAGTGGAAAGTTTGTGTGAAAAAGAGTCGCAGAACAGTCCTACTTTGTTATTAAAAGGTGACTTCTGCCTAGGTAGTGGAGGGTCATGCTCAGTTGCGTGAGTTAATGGAACAAAGGGGATCAAACTATGGATGTGAAATGCTGGTCATTCGGACGACCTTCTAAATGTGGGAAAACAAAGACTCTACATGGATATTTTGATTTACTCTCACTGGGAAAAGTTTTACAGCCAAACGTTTTCTGAAGTAACTCTGCGTGATCAGGTTATAGATGGTGTGTGTAGGGCAGGGGTTCTCAAACTTCATTGCACCGCGACCCCCTTCTGACAACAAAAATTACTACACGACCCCAGAAGTGGGGACCGAAGCCTGAGCCTGCCCGAGCCCTACCGCCTTGGGCGGGGCCGGGGGGGGGACAAAGCCAAAGCACCACAGCCCCATGCGGGGAGCCTGTATCCTGAGCCCGACCATCCAGGGCTGAAACCCTCAGGTTTGGCTTTGGCGCCAGGCAGCAGGGCCCAGCAAGTCTAATGCCAGCCCTGGCGACCCCATTAAAACGGAGTTGCAACTCACTTTGGGGTCCTGACCCTCAGTTTGAGAACCGCTGGTGTAGGGAGAGAAAAGCATAGCAGCCAAGAACTAAGACGTACTTTAATCTTCATTGTGCTGGGAGCCAAGGCTGTGATTTCCTTTTGCATCCTGTCCGCGATCCCAGGGTACATGGTGGTGCCCCCGGAAAGGACGTTGTTGGCATACAGATCCTTACGAATGTCGATGTCGCACTTCATGATGGAGTTGTAGGTGGTCTCGTGAATTCCAGCAGACTCCATGCCTGCAGGGAAGCAGCATAGGATCAGTGTTGTATTACTACTCACCAGCACCTTTCCTCCTTCCAAGCCTGGTCCATCTCCCTCTGGAGTCCGTGGGGGTTGCTCCATTGATTGCAATGGGAAGTGCATCAGGCCATCAGTGCATACATAACCTTCTTCCCTTATAACCTGAATCTTCATGTGCACCTAGCTAGTGGGGTGGTTGCTTCACACAGGCCTATGAATAGTTACTACCGTGATCAGTACTTTATATAAGTGACAGACTGCCCTAGGGTCAAGCAGCAAATCCAGCCCCTGTACTTAGATTGAGAATTCTTTAGGGGCTGTTTTTTGGTTTGGCATTTGTACAGCACCTAGCACCTGGGCACCACAGCAATACAAATAATATATATGCACTGTCTATTGTGGAGCCATGGCTGCATCTTCTATCCCCAGGCTGAGAGGTTCTAATTAAATCCAAAGGCCAAGCTCTGCTCTCATGTACACCAGTGAAGCTTTCAGTGACAGCTGCCTTGAACCCACATAACCAAGCAGAGTCTGGCTCTCCTCCTTTTCTCCTATTCATGGCAGTTAGAAGAGAAAACAAACCATGATCACCTGAGGAATTGTACCCTCTTAAATTTGCCTCAAGCATTAACAAGAGAGAGTCCCACTGTGGAAAATATGGAATGTAGAAGGGTGGGGGAAGATGTTACTAGTATATATAGTATACTAGTACTAGTATAGTACATCTGTCCCAGTATTTAAACAGACGGAAAAAATAAATAACCCAACCAACCACTAGGAGGGTGGTGAAGAACTGGAATGGGTTACCTAGGGAGATGGTGGAATCTCCTTCCTTAGAGGTTTTTAAGGTCAGGCTTGACAAAGCCCTGGCTGGGATGATTTAGTTGGTGTTGGTCCTGCTTTGAGCAGGGGGTTGGACTAGATGACCTCCTGAGGTCCCTTCCAACCCTGATATTCTATGATTCTATGAACCTACCCTCCCTTTTCCCCTCTCCTGCCATATCAATTAATATATTTAGAAATGGGCTCTACCCAACCCATCAGATCCAAACAGCCTTACGCTCTGGATCCAGATCTGAAAGTTGCAGAATCTTTACATGAAAAGATTGAATGGACCCTGGGATTGAATGGACCCTCACCAATGAAGGACGGTTGGAAGAGGGTTTCCGGGCAACGGAAACGCTCATTGCCGATGGTGATGACCTGACCGTCAGGCAGCTCGTAGCTCTTCTCTAGGGAGGAGGAAGAGGCAGCTGTGGCCATCTCGTTTTCGAAGTCCAGGGCCACATAGCACAGCTTCTCCTTGATGTCACGCACGATTTCTCGTTCGGCTGTGGAAGGCAGGAGCAAGCACTGTTAGCCTCACAGCTCAGACACAGTCTCTGTTCCGCTGGGCCGAGGGTGGGGAGCACCAAGCAGCGGTGGAGCAGAGCTGTCAGAACTACGGGGCCCATTTTCATTTAACCGTGAGAGCTGATTAACAAGGGAAACAAGTTACCCAGGGAAGTGGTGGATTCTCTGTCCCTTGGGGTCTGCAAATCAAGCCTAGATGCCTTTCTGGAAGATGCTTTAACCAAACACAAGTTACTGGGCTCAATACAGGGGTAACTGGAGACGACTGAATGGTCTGTGATATACAGAAGGTCAGACTAGATGATCCCTTCTGGCCTTAAACTTTATGAATTTAGTCTGGCCACATCATGAGATGTGACCTCTGCCAGCAGAGAACTGTGTCATCATTAAATATTGTCCCCCATCTATGACCTCCTTTTGCCCCCCCAATCACAAGCCTCACGTCACCCTCTAGCACCTCATTAAATGCCACCCGTGTTGCCTCATGCCTCATGTTGCCTCATGATCAGAATCTTCCCCACTCCCTCTACATACCGAGGGCACCTTCTCTCCACAGTGCTCCGAGGGATCCATTGGCTCAAAAAGCTGAGTTTACCCACTTGGCACTCATTAGCCTGTCTCCGCACCCCCAGGTCACTGTGCTGAACCCACAGAGACCAGACCAAAAGCTCCCCTTCGTACCAGTGGTGACGAAAGAGTAGCCTCTCTCCGTGAGGATCTTCATGAGGTAGTCAGTAAGATCGCGACCAGCCAGATCGAGACGCATGATCGCATGGGGCAGAGCATATCCTTCATAGATGGGGACATTGTGAGTGACACCATCCCCGGAGTCCAGAACGATACCTGGAGACAATGGAAAGAGCGGAGTTAAGAGAGGGTCTGTGGATCTGCTGGCCCTGCGTCTCTCTTACGTGCAGCGAGCAAAGAGAAACACATGCATCAGTTATTAACATAATAATTCCACTCCTCACAACAAGCTGAGCTCTTCGGGGAGGAAGTATGGTCCAGTGGTTGGAGCGCTAGCATAGGACATGGGAAACCCACGTTCAAATCCCTGTTCCACCACAGCCTTCCTGTGTGACCTTGAACAAATCATTCTGTGCCTCAGTTCCCCATCTGTCCATGGGAATAACAGCACTGCCCTGCCTCACAGGGGCATATGAGTATAAATATGTTAAAGTGTGTGAGGCCCCGAGATCTCTACCTCTCTAAATAACTTAGATTGGCAAAGAGAGGGTCATTTGATTTAAAATATTTTTGCCCCCAGCAGGGCTAAATCCTCTGCTCCAGTATGTAAAAGAGGGAGATGGTAGCAGGAAGTTAGAATAACTTTGTGATGCATGGATAGATATCCCTGGCAAGCGTGCCAGCCTGTACACCCAGGGGACGTGTTCAAATGGAAGGGTTTGCCTGCCTCTGCCCTCCCAGCTGGCTAGCACAGACCCTACCGTCACTAAGAAGTTCCAGCCAGGGGCAGCTTAGGCCATACTGTGCTCTTGCCGGGAGGAGCAGCAATGTATGCTGCACTGAGGCCCCCTGGCCTCCTATGAGAACGCTTACTCTGTGCCATCAGGAGATCCGTTGTAGGGGACACAGCTGCCAGCGTCCCTGCTCCATCTCAGAGCTGCTCCCCAAAAGAGCAGGATTTAGGCGGACCAATAGTTTGGGTGTCTACCCAGTAGTGGATTTAAACTGTCCTGAGAAAATGCAGCTCCCATTGAATTCGGGGAGAATTGTGGGTGCCCAGCACTTCTGCAAAATCAAGCCGACAGCACCTACGCGTCATCCGTGGCAGAGGAGGGAAGAGAACTACTCACCAGTAGTACGGCCAGACGCATAGAGGGACAACACAGCTTGGATTGCAACGTACATGGCGGGGACATTAAAGGTTTCAAACATGATCTGAAAAGAATACCCATTCAAATGTTAAGAAACACCTGGGGCGGTTGGGTCCCACAATGCACCCAAAAGCCCAGTGAAAGTAGGTTGAGTTTTCGGTATCCTAACTCTTCAATCGCTATCTGGGCTGGGGCTCGGCTGGGTAAATAGAGAATTACATCATCCACTGCAACAGCAGAACCTCTGGGTTCCTGATCTGCTAGTTATGGATAGTCTCTGCGAGGTGTGGACAGGGGACATCACCCATAGCTAAGAGCAAGATCTAAGGGCATCCCATTCTACAGATGGACCAGCACCTCCCACAGCTCAGCTGTATTTCTCCAGACAACTTCCGAGAGGGGATCGAGTTGGTGTTTGCCATCTAACCAGTTGTGGACCATTTTTATCCACCAATGATATCAGCAAAGGCTGGACATCAGGCAGCTAAAGCAAAGCTCTTCAACTATGTATCTAGCTTCTCAGATCCCAACACACTAAAGATGTTTCGGGGACTCCAGAAGAGCAAGAGTACCCCCACCAGTATACAGTCTGGTTAGATTTCCCTCTGGATGGGACAGTACCTACCATGAGACTAATGGAGGGAACGTTCCAGGAAGTTGATGTTTTACCTGGGTCATCTTCTCACGGTTCGCCTTGGGGTTCAGGGGCGCTTCTGTGAGAAGGGTGGGGTGTTCTTCCGGAGCCACTCGTAATTCATTGTAGAAAGAGTGGTGCCAGATCTAGGCCGGAGGACACAAAATGATAATGGTAGCTCAGACTCCGTGCTGAAGGATCAGTTCTTCTAACTGGTTACATGGAGGGAACGGATATGCCCTGTCCACACCGGGGGTTGGCAGCAGTGTAGCTATGCTGTTGACTGGAATCGGGGTAAAGCCACAGCATGGACCAGACTTCAGTCTAGAAACAGGCCTGAGCTGGAAAATCCAGACTCATCCACATTAACCCCTTCAGCCCAGAATTAAACTGCAGCTAGAATGCAGCCACAAGACAGCTGCACGGGAGTGAAGCAAAGAGTCAGATTTTGGGGCCCAGTCCTACCTCCATCCACCCACCCAGATCTGAGATTAAAACTGAGGGCTTGATTTATGATAAAAGGGAACTGAATTTGTACAGCTGGGCTAAAATACAAGCTGGGGTCTGCAGTGGGAAGGAGGGGAAGTGACCATCCATCGGGTGTGTAAGCCACATGGAATGAGAGGGATTGATTAGGATGGTTCAGGGGGGAATAGCTAAGAGAGATAAGAGGACGTTAAGCAAAGGGGAATACTGGCTGTACCTCAGGAAACACTTCCTGAGGCTGTAAAGTCATCTCCCCAATGAATGGGGCAGAAGACTGGACAAAGCCCTGAAAATTAGAGGGGTTTCTGTAGCTGCCATTGTTATAGCATCTGTGTAATACACCTGTTAAGTGTGCCATGTCCCCCTCTAATGGCTGGCCCCCATGGCGGATAACAGCCTATTACCATCAGCAACTGATGGAGTCATTCCTTTAGCTCAAGCGGGAGAAGCCTGTGGTTTGGAGATAAAGGGTAAAGGATCCAACCCTTGCTGATGACCCATAGTGGAGGCTGTTATGTAAATGCTGTAAAAACAGTCCTGCATTGGCCACAGCTGATGTACAATGTAAAGACTTTGGCGTTGGACCCAACAATAAAAAATTCACACAGCTGTCACCGCCACAGTCATTGGCAAACACGCTGGGAACCACCAGAGCCAAAAGTGTGAGCTGCTACACCTTGAGCCAAAGAGCCAGCCTCCCTAGCGGGGGCTGTTAAACTCATCCCCTGAGATCAGGCACAGACAGGGGACTTGCAACACCATCTCCAGCGAGTGACGCGAGCACATTTTGAACTTAGGAAAGGAAAATTCAAAGAATCCTTGGCTGGCTCCCTGGTTTTTCTATTTGACTCCCCAGAAGAGTGGGATTCTTAAAGGCAAATGGGTGCAAATGATCAAAACCATTTGAAAAATTACAGTGGAGAAAGTTTGGTGTTTTTTTTGTTTTTTTTGGCCAATTGAGTCCAAAGGAGAACAAGAGCTCCCTGCCCTACCTTCTCCATGTCGTCCCAGTTGGTGATGATGCCATGTTCGATGGGGTACTTGAGAGTAAGGATTCCTCTCTTGCTTTGAGCCTCGTCCCCTACGTAGCTGTCTTTCTGGCCCATACCCACCATCACACCCTAGAAAACAACAAGGGAGATGTTAACAGTCAAGCTCACCTCCATGGGGCAGAAGAAAACTGTCCAGTAGCTCAGATACGCACACTGATCCATACGCCTATTTATCTTACCATCATTGGCAGCAGAAATATTGGGCAAAACCTGAGGTTCTTGCTCAGTTTTCACTCAGTCCGACCTTAGGGCCAAACTAATGGGTTCTAATGAGACTATTCCCAGATGAACATGTGATTCAGCCACTACTTGCACCTGTGGAGTTTATTCCTGCTTGAAACTGGGGTGAGCTATTCCAGTGCAAATTGCAGCATGGCCTGTCTACACTGATGTCACCGTACCGGTGGCTGAACGTGGGGTAAATTCACGGTGTAGGCAGGCCTCCCTCCGTGGAGCAGCAACAGTATCAGAATCAGGCCCTTAGAAATGGCTGAAGGCCAGATCCTGATCTCCGGTTAGTCCAGAATCCGTGGAGCTGCTTTGGAGTTACTCCAGATTCACAGCAGCGCAACCCAGCTGAGAATGAGACCCAATCAATTATCATTTTTATGGCCAAATTCATCAGTTACCTGCCACGGATTCACATCAGGGATACATTTGGCCCTTAGAACACCCCTCTTTTGCAGCAATCTTGTTGCTTGTACACATGGGAATGAAACAACATTAAAAACTTTCCATGGCGTTGGCAGAATGACACAGTGACAGCAAGGTGCAGCGGACTGAACACGGGACTGGGCACTTGGAAGTCCCGAGTCCCAACTTCATCTCTAACACTGGACTCAGGCCTGCTCCCAGTGGGGGTCAATTGGAGTTTTGCTGTTAAGCAAAGAACAGGGTCAGGGCTTACCACTGGTTATGGAGTCTTGGCATTCCCATTTAATCCATACGGGTCTGTCTACACTGCATTGTAAACTCAGATCTGCAGACCCGGGCTTGTGGACTCAGTGTTTCAAAGCCTGCTCTTGAGCATCCACACTGCATCATAAACCTGGGTTTACAATTGCTGGACTTGGGTCTCACAGCTGTGCTAACGTGTCCGTACTGTGCCAGGCAGAGCTTCTGTTTCAGGTCTGCAGCTTGAACTGCGTTCACACTGCAAAGTGGCAGGGTTGGACCCAAGTCACAGTGGGACTCAGGCTCTGAACGCCCACCCCAGCAGAGTCCTAGGGCACAGAGTCTGAACACCTGCTGACCTGAGCGAGTCGAAAGACAAAGGTGTCCAGCTCCAGTCTGGATCACCCTGATATTGGACATTGGACTATAACCCAATGTCTATAACTATAGGGGGGAGGGATAGCTTGGTGGTTTGAGCATTGGCCTTCTAAACCCAGGGTTGTGAGTTCAATTCTTGAGGGGACCATTTAGGGATCTGGGGCAAAAATTGGGGATTGGGCCTGCTTTGAGCAGGGGGTTGGACTAGATGACCTCCTGAGGTCCCTTCCAACCCTGATCTTCTATGAACCTATGGAACTAATTCAGAAAGAACTCTTTGCAACTCTAAAGCTCACCATCTCTACTATGAAACTGACCTAAGAATTTTATTCAAGCCTGTATGTATAATGATCTTTTTACCTATCCTCTCTCTTTTCTTTTTTAATAAATTTTAGTTTAGTTCATAAGAATTGGCTAGAAGCGTGTATTTGGGTAAGATCTGAAATATTCATTGACCTGGGGGGTAATGTGCCCGGTCCTTTGGGATTGGTCGAACTTTTTATATAATGAACAAGATTTTCAGTAATGCTCATCATATTTGACTTGGCTGTCTGGGTGGGAGCCCAAGGTTGGATTGTTTTAAGGGAACTGTATTTTTGGCTTCTGGGTAACCAGTGAGGTACTGTAGGAGCTGTCTGGTTGCTGGCTTGGTGAATCTAATTATTAGAATAATCACCAGTGTGGGGGATTGTCTGCCCCATTCTTTGCAGTTTGCCCTGATTGAGCAATCTCAGTGTGGCCCCCCTGGGACCACAATCACACGTGTGGACACAGGGCCATCCCTAGCTATTCTGGGGCCCTACACAGTGCCCCAGGCCTCCGCACGGAGATGGGGGGGCTGGCTTGAGGGGCAGAGAGAAACCACCCCCAAGCACTCACCGGTGGCGTGGCTAGGGCCGGGTCGCTGCACTTCCCACTGCCGGCGAGTGTAGGCCCTGCCCTGCTGCAGTCCTCAGGGGCAGAGGCTTGGGGAAGGCACGGAGTGGGGCTGGGGCTGGGGCTGGGGCGGAGCAGGGAGGGGCAAGAGGCAGGGCTGGGGCAGAGCCCCTGGGGAAGAGGTGGGGCAGGGGCTGGAGCAGCACGCAGCTGTGCTGGGCACCAGGAAACGTGGTGCCTCAAATTTCCTGGTGCCCTACGCAGCTGTGTGCTTTGCGTATGGGTAAGGACGGCCATGTGTGGATGGAAGAGGGGCTTGGGTGTCAGAGCCTGGGCTTAGCGTGCAATGTGTCTCTAGCTCCTTTGCTCCCATCTGTAAAATGGGGATAATAATAGGTACCTGCTTCCCCGGGGCATTGTGAAGGTTGGTTAGTTAAATGCCTATGCAGCATTTTGAGGCCAGTGACAGCTAAGTAACAATAAGTAGATTAAACAATCAGAGGCAGCTGCTTTGACTCTGCAAACGCTGGGGGTAAAAGCCCTCTTCCCTCAGAGCCCAGGGCAAGATGCAACGCCGGGCACCAGCAGCATTATAGATACTCCCATCTCAGAGCTGTAAAGCCCTGACCCAATCCGTGTGCCACGCCTGCCAGCAGGAGCAGCAGGCTGATGGCGGCTGGCCCTCTGCCCAGCGCTTGGGCTGCAGCTTTCTGCGTCAGCCGCAGGTGGCCAGTTTCGTATTGCTCAAGCAATGTTACAAAGACATGCTGAGGCTACGACTGCTACCGATTGGGCTACCAGGCCAACACAGCCCCCAGGATGTGACTCTGCCTTGCTCATCCTAGAAAACCGCCCTCCCGTTAAAAAGAAAGATCAGAAGGTCCCCCCTCAGTCCCACCCCCCATCTTTAAATTCACGGTAACTCCGCTGACGCCCGTGGCGTTGTATCAGCAGCGGCTTTCAGAGGAGAACCTGGTCCACGATCTTCGTTTCAGGCCACCGAGGATTCACCCAGTTTCACTCCCACTGGGATGGTTTTCTCAGCTAGGACTAAAGCCTGCCCTGAAGGTGGTAAAGCAAAGTCCGGCGATCGGCTACACTGAATGCTTCAGAAAGACTGAACGCCCTGTATATCATGAGCAACAGACCCTGGAGCACTCTGACAACGGCCGTCTCAAGTCAGCTTCTGGCTCCAGACAGGAGGAGATCATATACCCAGGGTCTGTCCAGACGTTCCTGTACACCAATAACGCCAAGAAAGACAGTAGCAGGACACAGCCCAGGAATGTCATCTGAGCAGGGGGTGAACAGCAGGTTCTGTGACCACAGAATGGAGACCTGCTCTATAGTGCCAGGCAGGTGCACAGTACCTTGTTAACGAACAAGAACAGGCTGACTCCCTGCCTTAAAGATTTTATGATCTAAGCCAAGTCAAGAGCAGCAGGGGGAGATCACGAAGGAAGGACTGAGGGTGGGAAAGACTATGTGACCTGTGTTCAGTTGGAAGAGGCTGACATGCACATTTTGAGAGTTAGTTTTACCACATATAAAGTAATTTACAACTAAGATTCCTTAAAGGGCTTGCACTGGGCAGAGCCTTTCCTTCTGCATCCTCCTTGCTTTCATGAACACACAGGCCAAAGGCTCACAGTCCTTGCTGTTCCCCCCAAAATCAGCTCTCGCATGCAACCCCAGCACTCCTACCCCTTTTACATTCTGGGTCTGGACACTGAGTTATTATCAACCCCAGTGGGATCAGATGACCAATGTACTAACCCTAACCGCACCCCAGGTCCCTTCCCTGCTCCTCAACTGCATCCCCTGGAATATGCAATCCTCCTGAAGCATTTAGAAGCATATAGGACAGGAGACATTTCCATCTTAGTTAAGCTCTGGAACAGGTTCCCTAGGGAGGTTGTGGAATCCCCGTCACTGAAGGTTTTTAAGAACAGGTTGGACAAACACCTGCCAGGGATGGTCTAGGTTGACTTCATCCTGTCTCAGCGGGAGGGGCTGGACTAGCTGAATAAATTTGGGTTTAAGAGTGCGTTACAAACATTCATTAAGCCTCACAACACTCCTTAGGAGGCAGGGCAGCACCAGCCCCATTTTAGAGAGGGGTAAACTGAGGCATGGAGCAGTTACAGACATTTTCAGAAGCATCCCACTCATTTTGGAGGCCCAACTCAAGGCCCTTTAAGCCCAATTTTTTCCAAAGTGCTGACCACCCGCCACTCCAGCCGAAGCCAATGGGAGCTGCGGGTGCTCAGCTCCTCTTCAGATCCCCCCGGGACATCTCAGATTCAGCCCTCAAGAACTGGGGCACGCAAACATCAGCCATCGCTTATGAAAAATGTTGGCTTCAGCCTCTTGCCCAAAGTCTGCCACAATGCTGGGAACCCCGGGGTCCTGACTCCTCTTAGTCGTATTGCCATCGGAGTCTTAGTCACGAACCCACCCCCGTTGGGCTAATTGCTGTACAAACATGGAATCAAAAGACAGTCCCTGCCCCAATGGGCTTATCAACCTTTACATTAAGACAACCACGTGTTACAACCACGTTTTAGGCATGAGCTAGCGATGGTTATCAGCACATCAGCAGACCGTGTTATAGATGGCTATAAGCAACCCACTGACCACTTGGACTCTATAAAAAAATTCATCAGCCACTTATCAAAACACCTATTAATCCTATGTCAAGCCTTGACACATGGAACTGTAATATAAAAGTTGGCCAACAATTCATCAGATTTTAGGGCCCGATTAGGATGGATTGGCTGGGTCACCAACCAGGCTGGTATTGTCCAAGTCCAACATGTGATGAACATGAAAGAGCGTCTCAACTCAGTCCACCCCGGCCCCGATTATGCAAGTATTTTCCATACAGCATTCCCCTGGATTGAATGGGACTTCCCCATGCCTCTTGGCTCAGGCCGACAGTATTGTCTTATGGGGGGGGGTCGACTGCCATTGAGGTACTGCACAAACCTGGTGACGAGGGCGACCCACTATGGATGGGAAGACAGCGCGTGGGGCGTCATCGCCGGCAAAGCCAGCCTTGCACAGCCCGGAGCCATTGTCGCAGACCAAGGCAGTGGTCTCCTCTTCACACATGGCGGAGCTGAGAGATGCTGGAATTCAGAAGCACCTGCAAGAGGCAGAGAGGAAGGGGAACGTTAAAAATTACATGCGGCTCTGAATGGCTAGTCAAGGATTGGACCGAACACCACGCTCAGCTCCACCCATCCGACCGCAGAGGAGTCAACAGAGTGCTACAGGGGAGAGCGGAATCGAACCCCACATTTTCAAGGAGTTCAACTGAGAAAGCAAGTTCACAAAAGCTACATAAGCATGCCCTGGAGCCTCAGCTGGTGCGAATCCATGTAGCTCTGCTGAGACCAATGGAGTTACAGAAATTTTCCTCCGCTACGGTTCTGGCCTACTGAATGCAAAGATCCTACGGACTATATAGTTGGTCACATACAGAGGCAGGTGAGATTGAGACGGAGATAAGAGATTCAGATCACTGGGTCTATATTCACTCAGACAGCTTGATCTGTGTCAGAAGGGACCATTACGACCCACCTAGCCTGGCCTTCTGCAGAACACAGGCCAGAGAGCCTCACCCAGGGAGTCCTTCATTGAGCCCCTAATTCCGGTTTGGCCTAGAGCCGATCTCCTAGAAAGAGACCCAGTCTTGACTTAAAGAATCCAGCTGATGGAGAATTCACCACGCCCAGTGATTAATTACCCTCACATTTAACATTCTTAACCTTATTTCCACTCTGGATCTGATGACCAACCAGAAAAGGAGCGTTCTACAGCCTTCCATTGCAGTCACCCTGCCTCCTGCTCTCAGTAGCTCATGCCTAAGAGCTGTTAGGAGAAGCACCTCAGTTAGACTCAGCTGCTGAGATGGAGTATGGGGAGAGAGGCCTCCTCTAAAGTTGCCAGCTCCAAAACCTTGCAGCCAATGCCTTGGGTTGCACTTGGAAGCAGAGAGGATGCCTGGGCCTTGCCCAGAGCACAGATCTCACAGGCCTGCACTAAACAGGTACCCCCCAAAAGTCACCTTTTAGGGGCAGCTTTGGAAGCCAAGTCAAGAGACCTAGGTTTGAGTCCTTCCTGCAGAGGCTGGGAGCGAATCACAGAAACTAGAAATGGAGGAGACACGGCGAACTGGGGCACCGTGTCCATGTTGTTAAAGGTGGTCTAACAGGTCCTTTTTGGAGACTAGCCTCAATTCTTCTCTCAGCTGCAGCAGCAAAGTCCCATTGAAGGGACTTCAATGGGGTTGCATTGGAGGGAGAGTCAGATTCACCCCGCTCCCTTTAAGGAAGTTCCTTTTGAGAATCTCCCTACGCTGATAGGGCCTGCACTACAGAAGTCAGTGGGAGTTTTGCCACTGACTTACGTGAGCATAGATTGAGGCTCTTCAAGAGGTGTGGTCCATGACATAACAGATGGACCAAGCTCAATGAGGAGGTGCAAACTCTGCGGCTGACGGCAGCTATGTAGTGAATGGAACGTCAAGGGGATCCAGCTCTCACAGTTGAAAGCTTGAATGAGAGAACGTCCTTGGTCTGACAGACAAGGCCCACATGAAGGCCGGGAATCAGAGAGATGTTAGAAATGAACCTGCTAAAGGGGGAGTTTTAACATCATGTACCTAGTTGGCAATAGGAAAAAACAAATCAATGGTTCAGAGAGGGATAATCCACCGTGGAGCTGGATATAGGTTTTAAACATCCGCCCAGCTTCGGCGGAGCTTCCTTTGATACAAGACCAGGCATAACTATAAAAAGTCTCCAAGCCTAACTGGCTTTTTACTACAGCCCATTGGTAAAAGTTAACACAGACATAACAACATCACTATTGGCATCAATATAACCAGAGATGGGCCAAAGGCCCTGTCTGTCCATCATTCAGTGCATGGCCCAGTGGTTTGTATTTTGTTTTAAACTGCATTGCATGCCTGTTAGTTTGTACAGCTGCCACCTGGCCAGATGTGCAGTACTGCACACATGGAAGAGAAAAGTCTCCAGCCACAAAGTGCAGGGAGACTCTGGGCTCGTGCTATGAACCTGATAACTCAGTTTAAGTCAGAGGAGTTGCTCTGAAGTTACACAGCAGAATCTGGCCCCTTGTATATAAATAACAAAGCAAGCCATACAACGGCTCATTGTCTTTTAACGAGTTAGTTTCCTCATTTGCCCTGTACTTGATAATGCTGACCCCTTGATGGACAGCCAAAGTGGGGAGATTGGAGATGCCTGGTTTAAATGTACTGCTGTTATGGCCAGGAACCTGTTAGGAGAAAGCAGCTGCACTTTAGAAATACAGGGCTTGAGTCTTCTCTCAAAGCACCCACTTCAGTGCAGTTACCTGTGATGGATGCCAGAGCTCACATCCCAGAGGGATGTAATGCGGGATTCCTGACCAGCTGATAGCATTGCAGAGAAGCCCACCAGAGAAGAGATTGGGGAAGGAGATGACTTGCAGCATTGCAGCATTTCTGGGCAGCCTGGGGGAAATCGTGCTAATGTACATTTCACTGCTTCCCTCAGACCCTTTTAAAATCCCTGGGCCAGATCCTCAGCTCCAATGGAGCAATGTCCATTTACATCAGCTGAGGATTTGCCCACCCACGACTGCTGGAAAACAGTCATTCCAGGAATTACTCAGACCCAGTGGCAGGCTAATTATCCCTCCTGTTTAAGCTTTTGGAGAGTATTTTATAAAAACTGTATAAAGTCCTCTAGCCTGTGGCATGCAGGAGGCCAGTCTAGATGAACTAATGGTTCCTCCTGGCCGTAGAATCTATGAATCAAACCAGACTGAATTCCAGCCAAAGTCCTAGCTCTTTTACTGTCAAAGCTACTGATCCAAACGGCTCGTCCTTCCCTAAAGCAGAAGGCTAATTCATCATCCAGATTCCCACAATGCATTAATTTAGTGTATCTAATTTGGAGGCCTGCTTGGTTTTAAAAGAAAAGTGAATAGCAATAATAATGCCATGCTGAGTCTTATCTAGCATTTTTCATCCATCCATCCCAAAGCAATTTACAGAGAAGGTCAGTATCATTTCACAGATGGGGAAACAGAGGCAATCCTGAGTTCCAAACCAGTGCTCCATTCATGAGGCCACACTGCCTCCCCGGTAGTCCTTATTCATAGCCAAGGGTGGCAAAGCGAATAAGCTCTCCAGGGCAGGGGCTGCATCTTTCTCCTAGTGTGATCAATGCCTGGTGGATGCTACAGGACTAGAAGAAATAATCAGTCTTGCAGTCCTTACTCATGCAAATCTCCCACTAAAGTCAGTGAGAGTTTGCTTTGAGCGTGATCCCTGATGGAAGACCTGCCCATGAAATTAGCATAATATTTGACACCCCAGCATCCAATGGAAAATCTACTGTAAAAAAAGAAGTATGAGGAAGTTAACATGATTGGTCAAAATTAATGCATGCGAGCTCAGATTCTGATCTACCTGTGCCAGTCACAGAGGAGTTACTCCTGAGTCATGCTAGCGTAAGTATAATCAGAATTAGGCCCCCCAGGTCCAGTCAATGCGACGTATACACTTCAGTGCAACTGGTAGCGTATGATATGCCTCTGTAGACATTTATGCATGTTGTGTGGTCTGGAATCACACTACATGTGTGAAATATTTCTGTAGTCAGTCAGATTCTCTTCAATTCCACCGCCTTCGATAGGAAGGATGCTAGATTTATGCTGATGGAACTGAGATCAGAATCTGGTCCAATCCGACTTCAAATGGCTGTAAATCAGGGCAGAATCTGACCCTTTGTCTTTAGTTTAACCGTACATCTCTCTAGAAAAGCCCCTTGGGATAAAAGCAGAAATAAAAACATTGGCAATTCTGTTGCGGGGGGAAAAGGGGAGAGAAATATTTCTCCTTTAAACCTCACATTGGCGCTTAATTCCTCAGCTTCCTGGCAGCATCAGTGGGGTAAACATGACGCCCCCGCTTAACTGCAGCAGTAACATTGATCTATTCCTCCAGCACACTGGAAGACAGAGGGCTAGATGCTGATTTCATTTACAGAGGTGCCAGTCTAGAGTAAGCCTAATAGCTTCTGTGGAAACCAGCATCAGACTCTAGCCTTCATTCCTGAGGTTCACTTCTCCACTTTGAACAGCCCTATAAACTATGGTTTCTCCCTGGAGGATATTGCAATTCCCCTTCAAGACAAATTTCCTGTTATAAGAGACTGCAGAGGCATGAAAGCAGGTATCAGCTCTCTGAGAAACACGGGCAGTTTTCCTTTTATCCAGTTTGCAACAGTCCCTGATGTCCATCATTCTTTATCAGTATGAATCAGAGTCTGAGACAAACCACACTGGGGCTCCAGTAAACACAAACATGAGCCTACATCACAGGCTTTCCCAAAAATGGAAATAGTTTTCCCAACTCCTGGTTTGCAGAAGGCCACTCCCAACATTTCGCTTCCTGTCTGGAGACAACGTGGAGGAGCTCCTACAATAAGATGCAGCCCAGAGGAGGGGGAGACAAAGCTGTCAGCATTTACCACTGAGCCCTGTCAATTTCAGTTCCCACTGAAGACAACAGAGCATTATTAAGAACAAGTGGCCAATAAGAAACAGGTGAAACTGATCAACTCAAATGATCTGTTGTATGGATAAGATTAATAACCTTCCTTCCCCACAGCTGAGAGCCCCGTTCTTCAGCCCCACCCACCAAGTTCTGGTTTTCGTGCGTCACACAAGTCTGTCTCATCAAGGGGGCTCAGCACCTTGCAGGATGGGGCTCTGCAGCCTGTCTTTTCATCTGTTTGTAAGTGCCATGCACACAGGCTGTAAACAATGCACCGTAACAGCAGCCCACTTTGCTGCTGTGTTAACTTTCCTACTGGAAAACCCGAACTGTAACAACATGAGCGTGCAAATCACAGCAGCCCAAAACGTAGATGCAGCCTGGCTTCTCCAGGCATTCTAGGAAAATTGCAGCAGTCAAAGTCTTTCCTGCTTGAAAGCTGCAGAGACTAAAAGATTATGCTGCATCCCAGAGTTTCTCTCTGTCTGTCTTTACATGATGCATATTTAAAAGGATCAAAGAAAGAGACTATGCAGAGGCTTCCCCTTTTGCTGTTACAGCCTCCTTGCCAG